ACCTGAAGATGAACCATCAGTAAATACCAATAGGGCTTTAGGAATTGGTTTGAAAACGGTAACTTTTGGGAAAACAAGTGCATGACAATTGGCGAAGTCAATAAGCTTATTGAGGGGTAATGATTATCAATAAGTCCTGTAAAAGAAGCCAAGGCAATAGGCCAGGCTTCGGTGGTCTGAAGCAGCCAACCTATTTGTTCTTTGGTATATGGTTGAATGATAACATCTGGCTCCTTTCCAAAATAACATCTTCCTTGCTTTCTGCCCAAAATAATAAGGTCGGAGACAGCCTGATAATATGGCTCAATAGTCCTTTTTGGAGAAATAGGCAAGCGTATCCACATTAAAGGTGCAGTTTGCCAGAAAACTGCAGTTGGGGAATATTTTGTACTGCATATAAGAAATTGCAAGGGTCTATCATAATCTATAAAAGAATTGGTTTGGTCAGAAATGGCCTGTTCTACCAGGGAAATAGCCTGTCTGCCTTTTGGGGTAATCTCTCGAGGGGAAGTGGGATCAGAGTCTCCTTGCAATATATCATAAAGAGGCTTTAAATCATATTTACTTATTTTTAAGTATGGGGTAAGCCAATTGATATCCCCCAACAGTTTTTGAAAATCATTTAGAGTTTTAAGATCATCAAGCCTCAACTGGGGTCTCTGAGAGAAGACCTGGGAACCTTTCATCTGGAAACCTAGGAAAGTATAAGGATCTGTCAATTGTATTTTATCCAGGGCAATTTGGAGTCCTTTTTCTCCTAAGGCTGTCTGGAGTTCTTGGTAGCATCGCAAGGTTTCATCTGCTTTGAGTCCTGAGACCAGAACATCGTCCATATAATGAATAATGTACATGTGTGGCCAATGATCCCTGACCGATTGTAAGGCTGAGGCTACAAAGGATTGGCACAAAGTAGGACTATTTGCCATCCCTTGTGGTAAGACGCACCATTGAAATCTCTGCATGGGTGCTTTAAAATTAAGAGCAGGTAAGCTAAAGGCAAAGCGCTTTTGATCTTTCTGGATGTAAGGGAATTGTGAAGAAACAGTCTTTTAAATCTACAATAATCTTAAAATAATGTAATGGTATAGCAACTGGGGATGGGAGACCTGGCTGAAGAGCCCCCATAGGAGCCATAGTTTTATTAATGGCTCTAAGATCTTGTAATAGGCGCCATTTACCTGATTTCTTTTTTATGGTAAAAATAGGTGTATTCCATGGAGAATTGCTGGGGATGATGTGGCCAGTGGCAAGCTGTTCCTGCACCAGCTGTTGGACCGCTATTAGTTTTGAGGTTGGAAGGGGCCACTGATCGACCCACACAGGTTGATCAGAAAGCCAGGTGATTTTTTCTGCATGAGTCACAGGAGAATCAATGACCCCTATGGAAAATGGCCTAATCCTGCTCTGGTTAAATTAGGGACAGGAGCAATAGGAATTTTGATGCCTGTGCCCAATCTTCCAAGACCTTGTCCCAGGGAGAAACCACTATTAAGCATCTGGGCTGTAACTATAGTACTGGGGCTGCCCATGATCAATCCCAATTGTGACAGAAGGTCCCTGCCCCATAAATTAAGTGGCAGATTTGCCATTACATATGGCTGTATGCTACCTTGGTTACCTTCTTGATCTTTCCAGGTCAACATCTATGAACTTATTTCAGGACTTTGTGGTTGACCAATGCTTTGCAAATGTGTTAGGGTGGCAGTCAAGAGCCAATTAGTGGGCCAGTCCTCTTTCCTAATAATTGTGACATCAGCACCTGTATCAATAAGTCCTGAAAAACACTTGCCATTTAACCATAAGGTCATGAGTGGCTTTTGACTAGAAACATATTGTGCCCAATAAACATCTGAGGACCCAGACCTCTTGTTACTCCTGTGGGTGGAGATTGACTGGTTGGTGGTAGACACCAGTGGCAGCAACAACAACTGAGCAAAACGTTGACCTGCTTTGATGGGCGTGACATTGTTGGGTGAGGAGACCATGACCTTAATCTCACCATTATAATCATTGTCCACAATTCCAGGGGAGACATGAAGTCCCTCAAAAGTAGAACTACTACACCCTATGATAAGACCAAACATACCCTGAGGTGGGGGGCCAAAAACTCCAGTGGAAGTGGATTGGGTTCCCATGTCAGGAGTTAGTATTGTGTCGGAGGTGGAACTGAGGTCCAGTCCTGCGCTTCCTGGGGTTGCCCTGACGAGGTTTGAAATGGATTGTTTTTTGCTGGCATGAAACCTGTCACCCCAAGAAATTGCTTGGGTGTGGGGGTCTGGGGCTGGTCCCATGTCCCGTTTCCCGGCTGCTGTGGGAGCAGAGGGTTTCCATAAATGTCTCTTTTAGATCTACATTCTCTAGCCCAGTGCTCACCTCGTTTACATCTGGGGCATAACCCGGGCCTTTTTACTTGAGCTTGGGTTTTGTTATTTCCTCCTTTACAATTTTTTGCTGTATGACCAGGCTGACCACAAATAAAGCAATTGTTATTCTGCCTCTGGCGGTGAAGGAGTTGGTCAACTGTACAACCCTGTAGAGCTGCAGCCATTGCCAAGCCTTGACGATAGGAAGGTCCAATGTCTGCACATAAACGTTTGTAACCGGACAAATCAGTCTTTTTTCTGTGAGGTCTAATCACGGCCTGGCAGGATGAGTTGACATTTTCAAAAGCAAATTGTTTAACAATGTCGGAGGCTGTATCGGCATTGCCAAAAAGGCGCTCAGCAGCCTGTAAAAGGTGATTCACAAAATCTGAAAAGGGCTCTTCTGGTCCTTGTTGAATTTTTGCAAATGGGGAAGTTGTCTCCCCTTCTACAGGGAGCTTTTTCCATGCTCTAGTTGCAGCCAAATTAATTTGAGCAAAAAGACCAGCGTCATAGCGCATCTGAGCTTCCTTAGTGGAACAGTCACCTATGCCGGTAAGCATGGCAAAAGTCCACGGATCGCCATTATCGGCATTGTTTTTTGCCATAATTTCACATTGCTCAAAAAAGTCAGATTTCCATAAGAGGTAATTTCCCCCCAAAGAGTTGCTCTAGCTAGGTCTAGCCAGTCCTTTGGAGTAGACCAGCCCTGAGTCATAGAATCGAGGACAGTGATGGTATAAACTGCAGTAAGGCCATATTGAGCAACTGCAGTTTTTAGTTCTTTCAATACATTTACAGCAAAAGGGGCATAGGCTCTAGCAGCCTGAGGCTCGGCCCCATTTTGGCTGGGAGCCATCATTTCTGAAACCAGAAATGCCATTTTGGATAGAAGCTTATCATGTTCAGGCGCCATTTTGGGCAGGAGCCTACTGAGCCCAGGCGCCATCTTAGGGGTGCCAGGTGTCTCATCAGCCTACAAAGATTGTAAATGTAATATAAGCCTCTCAAACAGTCGATTTTCCAGGTCCAAAAGCACATCGGAAGATTGAGGAGCAAATGTGGACAGTTCATTATTATCAGGAGGCGGTTTTGTAGCAACTGGTGCTGCAACGGGGTCAGGACGGTATTTGGAAGCCTCTTTGGCTAAGTCTTCCCAATTGACCTCTTGTAAAGTAGTAAGATCGGGATACAAAGATTTATAATGGGTCAGGAGAGGAGCCTCAGGTGGAGGAGGCGGCAAAACCTCAGAAGGGGAAGGTGGCAGCTGCTCGTTATTTTGGGGTTTAGTTAACACTTCATTTGCCTCCTCACTGTGGAGAGAGGAGACATCTAGACCAGCCTGGGAAGGGGCCAGAGTGGGCCTATTGGAGTTACGCAGGACAGCTTCTCTGTGGGTAATCATTTCTCCGACCAAAGGGTCTCTATGTCACTGCATAAGAATCTCATCAATCAAGCCCCAGTATGAAAATGCTGTAATTGGGACCTTTTCAGGACCAAAAACTCTATAATAATTTTGTAATGCATCACCTACTTGTTTCCATCTTTTAGAATCTATTGTGCCCTCCAACGGAAACCATGGGCAAACCTCATGAATAAACTTAAAATACTGTAATAATTCCTTTTCCTTTACCTTAATCCCTCATGTCTTGAGTGCCTTACTGAGGCTTTCCACAAAGAGCTCATGCTCGCTTAATGCTTGACCCATGCCGGAAAGGGGGAAGGGGGTGGCTGTTCACTCACCATGGCTCGAGCGGCGCGGCAGGCACTTGCACTGCGTTGGCCTCGGAATTTACTTTCACTATCTGCTTCATACCCAGGCTCTCGAACAACTCTCTCGTTAAATCCTCCGTGCCAGGCCCCACGTTGGGTGCCACTTGACTTGGCCCGCGAGTCAAGACGTGGGGTAATGATCTGGAGGAAGAACGGGGATGAACAAGACAGGGCAAGAGACACAAGAGACAGAGACAAGACAGGTTTCCTGATCAAGTCTCATTTATTGAGGAAGTGAACAGGGTCTAAATAGCCGCATAGTGGAAGTAGTTGGGTGGGACTAGTTATGGATTGGTAGTGGAGGTCCAGGACCACAGGAGGATGTCGAGGCAAGTGGGGATTGGTGCTGCAGCACTTCTTGCCCTAATAAGGGAAAATATAACAGGAGCGTTCTATCACCCCCCACATCTACCTACCTACCTATCTACTCTTAATCAGTAAAGCATATTCTCTACTGGGTCACTTCTAACACTTTCCAGTGTTCCAAACAAGTTCCCCAGTAATAATTACACAAAAACAATGGAAGCTGAATTGCTTTCATTCTTTGTCAAGCATTGTGCCACCTGGTTCCTCTGATCTTTTACTTTTACATTGTGTCCTCTGCTCTTTTAAAGTCCTAACAAAATCAAATTTCATTAATGATGAAGAATTTAATATACAAAATTGTGAACTGGTCAACACAATCCAGCTAGCAAGCAGGTGAATCAAGAGCCTGGGCTCGCCTGACTTGCAAGTCCTTGCAGGTTATAGCCTAACAGGAAAGGCGAAGGCTGTGTCATGTAGCTGACCTTCCCTCATGTCTACAGGGTCCAGGCCAGTGGTGCTTCTGCAGCATGGTCTACTTGGCGATGCCAGCAACTGGATTTCCAACCTTCCCAACAACAGCCTGGGCTTCATCCTGGCAGATGCTGGCTTTGATGTGTGGCTGGGGAACAGCAGGGGAAACACCTGGTCTCGGAAGCACAAGACCCTCTCTGTAGACCAAGATGAGTTCTGGGCCTTCAGGTATATGAAAATCTGGAGATCAAAGTAGACATGGAGACCTTTGGGAGAACTGGGTAAACAGTTAGAGGTTCAAGTATTTGAATAAATTACTTGGGCTGTGTTATCAGTATGCTAACATGATATAGCTAATTTTGGCAATTAGCTAGGGATTCTTTGGTGGGATGTGTAAGGAATATTGGGTTTCCCACATTGAAGGCTAATGAGATGTCAGGTAGTGATTGAGACAGAACCAAATCCATTCCCTTGAAGGTGGTTGGCCTGAGACTAACTTCTCTATGAGTAATGACTAGTCCAAATGCCTCCAGAAAGAACTGAGGCCAGGTAGCAGTTTTAAAAAGAAAGAAAACTATCAATTTGACTTACCTCTTTCATGGCCTTGCAAGTTTTTTAATGTTTTTACCTACATTATCTCTGGCAATCCATCTGTTCTTGATACATTTCATCAGAGGAGGGGTCCTGTTGCATCCTTAATATTGTCCTGTAAAAGAATCTGTATGGCCCCATGCAAACAGTGCAAGAGATAGACCATGCACTCAGCACCCACTGGTGATCCCGGGCAATGACATCTGCAGCAAACAGCAGTTGGCTGACAGCCTGAGACCCCAGAGATGCCCAAGTGTCCCAGTTTTGAAATAGCTCCATCCTGAGTGTTGTGAGGAGCACTGTAACAAGTTGACAGGGCTGGCCCTCAAGTACTCATTTGTAAACCGTGTGTGTGTTGGGGTGGGGGGTGGCTCTGTTTGTACCTGATTATAATGTTTCATATAACTTTGTCTTTTCCCTTTGTAGTTATGATGAGATGGCTAGGTTTGACCTTCCTGCAGTGATAAACTTTATTTTGCAGAAAACAGATCAGGAAAAGATCTATTATGTCGGTTATTCGCAGGGCACCACCATGGGTAGGTTCAAAGGAAATCAGGTTTGTATACTCAGAAGAAATGTGGCCTGAGGCACCAGCTGTCCCTGAGCCAGTTTTCTTGGGCTTCTCTAGGGTCTGGTTTTGTCCTCTTCCGTCACTGTAAGCCCCTAGAGAGATAGAGACTGGGCTGAGAGAGGCCTGTGGTACAGCAGAGAGAGCTTGGGCTGAGACAGATGAGGACTCAAATACTGTCCTTCCTACCCCCTTAGGTAAATATCCTTGAGTCAGTTCTTTAACTACCCAATCTCTTTCCTCATTGACAAAATGAGGATAATAACTCTCTCTTAGAGGTCTTAGAACTATCTGGGCTATTCATGTCATGTCTGTAAGACTGAAGGTATGTTAAGTCTGTACTCCATGAATGTCAAGACTGTAAGGCAGGTCTGTAAGACACGGCTGTAAGAGAAGTGTCTGGTGCAGAATACATACTCAGTTAATAATGGGAATGAATGAAGCCTGAGTTCAGGGGCCACCACATGACAGACAATCAAAAAATAGAATATTATGATCATATTAGGGGCTGAATTGATGGAGTTTACATAAGCCTTTCTCGTTTCCAGCTAATGCCAACATTTGGAATTATGCACTGAGGTCGTTTTGCTTTAGATGAATACATGAGAGGCTTTAAATGGAAGCCCCTTGCAGGCCCAGTTTGGGGTGGTGGGGGATGGAGACTGTGGCTCTCCTGGCCTTATATCCAGACCAAAACCAGTAGGAAAAGTGTCCATGGCCTGCATTAGGAGAAGATAGATACTGAAGACTCAGAGTGTGTGTCATAGGAGGAGGATCTTGGGGACTAAAAAGATCTCTTTCTTTTACCCTGAAACCCAACCCTGAGTTAAAGGCCAAAGCTGCACTCTAAACAGATCAATGAGCAGCCAGTTATTGGAAGAAATACACATTCTTTAATCAGCACTGCTGTGCTGTTACCAGCTTGTGTCTATACTCATGAATATGAAAATAGCTTTGTAAATGATTTAATTTTGTACATTCTTTAATGTCTGTGGTTTAATATTATCCCTATATAATTCCCATCTTTATGAGCATCTAGTAATGCGTCATTAAAAGTGTATCATTTTGCTTCATTGCCTGCAGAATAGGACTGTAACTCAATTTTGCAGATGACTACATTGTGGCTTAATGGGGCTGCTAAGTAAGATCTATACTCAAATGTTTACAGCATTCACTAAAGAACAGCTATATAGTGAGGTCTATAAGTTGAATGTAAACTACATACATACATTCCTCAATTCCTGTAAGAGTTTTACCCCTACCCCCTTCAGAATTCGTCTCAGTTACTTTTCTCTTGTTGCTGGGACAAAATACCCAAAACCCAAAATGAAGGAAGGAAAGGTATATTTAGCTCACAGTTGCAGAGGTGTCGATCCATACGCAGCTGGCTCCAAGGTAGAGTGGCACATGGCAGAGGGCAGCTGCTCATAGTGGCAGGAAGTAGCAAAAAGCAAGACCAAAAGGGAGGAGCAGCAGAAACACAGGCCAACAGAGAGCAAATCTGTCTCCTTCATGTTGCATTCAGGCTATCTGCCACAGGCTGGGTATGGCACTCACACCCATAATCCCAACACTAGATTATGAAGTAATCTCAAACTCTAGAAGCCAGCCCTATAACTGCATGAAGCTTTGAGGGGCAGGGGGACAACTAGACACAAACCATAGCAGAGATAATGGGAATTATTATGACAAGTCCTTCAAAACAAAAACCAGAAGTAGATTATCTCTAAAACCTGTCATCACACTAAAAGCACTGTGAACTCAGGCCAGTTGTTGGACAATCTTAGCTAGTTTTCAGTTGAACAACTTAGAGACAAAATATTTTTCAAAAGACCTCTGAGTTAAAGAACACTTACTCTTCCCTTGAATCCAACCACAAACCAGGGCATCTGTCTCTGGCCCTTTGGTCGCTGAGATCTCTGTGTGCCATTCCCTCGGCAAGCAGGGATGCCAAAATGACACCCAGCATTAGGAGGCAAATTTAGTTCATGTTGTATGGCCACTGAGTAGAAATGAATTGTTCCTCAAAATGCCAGGCCCTGATCCTGGTGGTCGGGAGCTTATATGGGCTAAGCAAGCAGAAAGTGCGTAAGCAGAATGTCCAATTTAACCGCATGAAAGCAATCACAGCAGGTGCCATTAGGAAGCGCTATCTCTGTGGCTCACCCTCCCAGTAAGAGCTTGTAATTTTGCAGGAGAAGAGTTATGACATACTATATACATAATTATTAAAACATTTTGATAAGGGTAAAATATATTTGTGAGTCCTATGATACTCAATATCCATGCTGATACCTTTTTCTCTTACAGGCTTTATTGCATTTTCCACAATGCCAGAGCTGGCTCAAAAAATCAAAATGTATTTTGCTTTGGCCCCTATAGCCACTGTTAAATATGCAAAAAGCCCTGGAACCAAATTTTTGCTGCTGCCAGACATGATGATCAAGGTACGTGAGACCTCGGAGGAGTCCTTGTATGGACAGAAGTCTTGCCACCCCGTTTCCTAAAGCATACACTTTTAAATTAGAGGCATGTTTTCTGGACTACATCACAATGACTTCTGTTTCACCTCATATTTTGCAGGGATTATTTGGCAGGAAAGAATTTCTATACCAGACCCGATTTTTCAGGCAATATGTTATTTACCTTTGTGGCCAGATGATTCTTGATCAAATTTGTAGCAATATCATCTTACTTATGGGAGGCTTTAACACGAACAATATGAACATGGTAAGTAGGAGCCTAGAAAATAAATTCTCAGTTTCCTAACTAAGCTAGCAGTTACTAGTCTCAAAGGAGCAGTGAGGACCTACACAAGATGTACACACAGCAATGTGAACTAGGGACTGCTGGAAAGCCTTCACCAGGGGTTGAAGCAAGGTCCACATTGCTACATATTAGTCTCACAGGTTATAGATGAAAGAGGTCTGGAAGCCTATACTAAGTAAGAAAGGCAAAGGAGATTAGAACCTGGCAGACAATAGGGACACCTTCCCAGTGTCATCCTCTCCCTCAGTCTGGTCTCTTTCAGTTTGTAGTTTAAGCTCTTCAATGCAAAGTCTGGGTGTCTCAGTGTGGCTTAGACACAGCTGCTAGCTGGTAAGCGTCACCCTGGGGGTCTCCGTAGTATGCACGTTCTGAGGAGGTTAATAGGCAGAATGATTTGGGGTTCTGTTCTTGAGATAATGGAGAAAAAGGAGACTGGATTTGCTAGAGGAAAAAGTCTAGGACATAACCTTAACAGTGAATCCTACAGGGGTATGTGAAGATGAGGTGCTCCTTAAGACTGTCCCAAATTGGAAGAAGGGCTGGCCTGTATGCTCTCATATCTACCAGTTATTTAATGCAGATCACCCTGATAATGAGGGGGACACTGGGCAATGTGTCTGTAATCTGGGTGACCCTGTAAGGGCTGGCAGTGGAAGGCAGATGAGGGAAGGCATCTCTAACTCCTGAAGATTTCTTCTTCTTTATTAACACTTCAACTTACAGAAACCACTTGGTGGACATTTATCGTGCATGTTCCACCCTAATTTTTAATCCCACAACAAGCCTGTGAGACACTTAAATACATCAATATCCTCCCCACTTTACCTAGTAGTACACTAAGGTTCAGTGGGTTAAGAACTACCCAAACTCACCTAATTTTAAACAGCAGAGAGCTACTCTCAATTCCAAATCCCTTACCCTAAATACATCTAGTAAAGATTTTTAAGTAAATAATGAATAATGAGAATTATTCTCAAGTGAAGAACATAGATGCCTAGGAATACATTTAGTGACTTTCATTTACGTGCGTGTGTGCATTTCTATGTCATGGAAAACTTCTGACAACTTGATGCTCCTGTTCCATAGTCTGACACTCTTGGAGATTTACTTGGGGTAAAGTACACATCTCGGGAGTTCTGTGGCCCACAGACCACTCATGCTTTGTTACAGAGCCGAGCAAATGTGTACGTTGCCCATTCTCCTGCCGGCACATCTGTGCAGAACATTCTACATTGGAGCCAGGTAAGAATATTGGACTTCTATTTTCGAAGGGTCCTTGCACATTTGGTCGGAAATAGGCAAAAGACTCCATTTTGAGGTACAAAACTTTGTGTTTGTTTTGAGCTGCCATGAAGTTGGGTCAAAGATCAGAGCTGTGAACCTGACCTCAATCACTGAAACTTTTGAGGAGATGGGAAGAAAGGACAGGAGTGGACTAAGGACATCTTTATTTTTTTTTTTAAATTTTTTTTTAATTTTTTGTTGCTGTTACAGGGGATTGAATTCTTTTTTTTTAAATATTTATTTATTTTTATTTATTACATTTATTTATTGTGTGTGTGTGTGGCCAGCTCAGCCCACCAGGGGGCAGGGCTGGCTGGCATGTGGTGC